CACGAGACAGCTCACAAATTATAAAAAAAGAATTAGTAAAAAGGCCTGACGAAAAAGACAGAGAAGATTTTGAATACCCATTTGCGACGATCTCGAGACTTCAAATTTCCAAGTCCCTGGCGCTATGTTTATAAAGCTTCCTACGCCTATGTTCTCTCTGGAATTTCATTATGCACAGAAATCCATACATGCATGGCAGATTATATCTTTCGACCGACATGGGCTCCAACCATATAATTGAGTGACTTCGCAACTTTAAATTAAGAGAGTTAATTTCCGCCGAAGGAAACGAATGTTTTGTGCCCATAGTGAATTATAGCGGTATGAAAAATGTTTAATAAACTCAATACAACAATTTATTTGTACCCTTGGAAATAATCATGCAGATTAATATTGATAAATGGGCGCTACGTTTCAGAAGTAGCTATAAATTCCAGAGAGTTAGCATAAAGAGAAATGTATGGATTAGAGTGAAAGAATTTTACTTAAACGTACACTGACATTATGAGCAATGACACAAACAAAAAAATCCTACCTGTCTAACAATAACGCTTTCGCTTAACGCTTTCAAACGGCGACTTGATAAAATCGCTTAATTGGTTGGATCATTAATTATACTTCAAACACTCATTAATAATTCATAAGCTTATTGGCAAATCATGTTAACCATATAATATGTCACGTGCAGTGGCTTTAAACCTGATAAAACACTCCTAATTAGTATTCTTTATATAAAGAATACTAATAAGGCAGTACCTATTGTAGTCGTGTCCTCATTAGTATTTTTTATATAAAGAATATTACTAATAAGGTAGTAAATCTATAGAATTTGTAGTCGTGTTTGAAGCTGTTCAATAAACTCGCAGGTCGTGTTTTATTAGGTTTAAGCGCTCGTGGCTTTAAACCTAATAAAACAATCCTGATCGTTTATTAAACAGCACACTAATTATACCTTAATTTAGTATTCTATCATAGTAAATAGGATTTCGTTTTTATTACACGGCCCTTTGAAAACCAGTATCTCTTGTAAATATAAAGTTAGTTTTTAATAGTTACTGAATAGGCTACCGTGTGTAAAGATTTTGATTAATAATAATAATAATAATAATAATAATAAAACTATTATCTAGAAATCTAGGAGAATAGTGTTAATTTTATAAATTTTACTAAAATATACTTACCAGGGGAATGGCTTGACAACGACCAAAAACAAACAATACAACAGAAAAAATGTACAAAATTTTCAACATTTCTTGAGGGTGTTTCGTTCTCTTTAAATTATTAACAAAATGAAACACTCGTACTAAGATATAAGTTGCGAATGACACAGCGTAATATAAAACAATTTGAATGCATTGCAGCTGTCTAGAACAATTAGTCCCACAATGACTAATATCGTTCTTGAATATCGGCCTGAATTATGATAATTGGCATATTGAATAATAAAATGATTGATGATGATGCAAAAGTTGATGTATCGTTTTGTTTTTCATTTAAATATTTATGCTGGCAAATCTATAATTTATGATCCGATTTTAATTTGCTGATTTCCGCTGGGTCGTTACCAAACAAGTTCGTTGCTTGATTTTTCTAATGCCATTTTTCTAACGCAAGTTCGAAATTGTATTTACTTTATCCTGAACTGTTTGTGCCAGTGTAGGTAGTGCCAATAATATAAACAAGCTTTCGTTGGTTGGGATGCAACTACCTGAAAAATATAAGGAGAATTTTGACGTTTCAAGCGAAGACCCTTCGTCTGCAGTTACTGTAACTCCAGACGAGGGCTAGGGCCTTCGCTCGAAACGTGGTAACTCGCCTTATATTTTTCAGGTAGCTACATAATAATAATAATACTTATTATATAAAGTATAGTGCTTTATAGAGATTTCAAGCACTCGGATAAAAAGCTACATAATAATAATAATACTTATTATATAAAGTATAGTGCTTTATAGAGATTTCAAGCACTCGGATAAAAGTGATAATCTCACATGTGAGATTATTCATGATAATCATTGATAATCTCACATGTGAGATTATTCATGATAATCTCACATGTGAAATTATCGCTTTAATTATCGCTTTTCAAAGAGACTGTCCTTTATATAATAAACAGAAAAATACATGGTAAAATTATCGCTTTTCAAAGACTGTCCTTTATATAATAAACAGAAAAATACATGGGTGCTTGGAAATACCAGATTTATTTCTCGTGTTGAACATGATATCTCACTCGTTCGCTGCGCTCACTCATGAGATATCATGTTCAACACTCGAAATAAATCTGCTATTTCCGCGCACCCATGTATTATTCTCTATCTAATATTTATATTGCTCAAATTAACATGTTATAGTATATGATCAAATGCGCATCACAAAACATAATTACACTAAAATTATTCTATGCTGAATGGTTACTAACTAAAAATATAAAGAAGTTTATATAGATTATATGTTACATGAAGTATTTACATTTAAGGCTTCTTCAAAATAATAAGTCTAAATCCCTACCAACGAATATCAAGATATATCTTGACCTATTTGACCGTTGCGGCACGGTTGAAATTAAATTAACATGATCTGGTTTATTGAAACATTCAAATCACGTACAAGAAATTGCCATTATTTATAAACGTCTTCTTTAGCAATAAATAGTTAAGATTTATGTGAAGTTCAAATATTTATTCGAAATGTCCAAGCATAGCCACGATCTAAAACGAATCGCAAGTTCGTGATTTGTTAACAAACAATTGTTCGATTCAAGTTCAAAACATTGAATGTTCAGCAAGACCGTTTTAGGTCACTGCTTTTTTATGTATTTTCATTTTCTGCTCTTGTTTAATTAAATTAAATAAGTGAATGGTCGACTCGTTTTTTTTATTTAGAAAGCAAGCAGCAATTTGTTGTTTTTTCGAAAAGTAATTTTAAAATAGCGCTCCTTGGTGATCGCAATTAATGAAAAAAATGCACTTCTCTCAACCAATCAGATTGCATTAATTTTGGCATGTATTAATGAATCAATAATGAATAGCTTACCTTTTGACTTGAAGAAAACTAAATTTATGATTTTTAAACTATCGAAACTCAATACTACGAAAAGTATGGTATTAACCCAAAAATTGTCTTAAAGAAATAATTATGAAATAAATATGGCCAATCAATTATATCTTTCTTCGGGGTAATTTTGGAAGTCACACATCTCTAGAAAAAAGTCCAAATCTGTTGCGATCAATCGTAACCGTGTATGCATCTCCACACACGATCACTAATTATGTTCTATTACTTTCTTGTTTATCCGTACGCATTCAGTGCCGTAGCAAGCTCGATAATACGGAGCTTTAGATTTGACTACGAGTATGACTACGTACGAGTACGAAATTTGATCGCGTGCTAGGAAATCACCGTAGTCGTTTTCGTTACCCATTAAATGTTGTTTTTGTAGCAGTAAACCAACAACGAGAGAAAAAGTTTCATAAACTAAATCTCCTGCAGACTAAAATCCCCTACAAAACGTGAAAATAAGTCATAACACTAAAAACAGGGCAGATATTTAGTATTAATATATTATTTGCGCCGGATAAACGCTATATAAATGCTACAAATTATTTTTGGAAAACAAAAAAAAGCCAACTTTCTTTGTTTTTTTGAAAAGTCGTCGTGAGGACTACAAGATTTCTCCGCAAGTTCGTTCTCAGATGGGCGACGGCTACGACTTTTTCGCGTCAGTACGGGATGGCGTAAGCATACAGCATGCGTTTAGCTTGACGAATCTCGTACTCGTAGTCGTACTTGTAGTCAAATCTAAAGCTCCCTAATTGGGGTGGGGGCAGATATTCATATATTCATGTTCTGCGTTATTAATTTATATAGAAATCGGTTGTTTGTATGGTCTGTGAACATGAATATATGAATATCTGCCCCCCCCCCCGCAATTATCGAGCTTGCTACGGCACTGTTTGCATTAAATTCATAATTATTGTATTTTAGTGTGGGGCTCAAGTTACCCATTCAGGCTAAATCGCAATGTACTATTAGAGAAATGTTTGATTATAGAATCGTATATAAGGAGCTTATAAGGGGTCATATATGACACATGGACACACTGAATTACCCTTATTCCAGCAACTTATTAAAGATCGTCAAACAGCCTTCTATAGAGGTGATAAGCAACAATGGCAACTATTGAAGTGCAAAGTGCAATCAGAAATAAAACAGAGAAAAGAAATGTTTTATAAGGATAAGATTCAGCATCTTCGTAAAGATGATTGTCGAAAGTGGTGAAATACTGTAAATAAAATGTCCGGAAGATCAAAAAAGAACACGAGCTTCAGTCTCGAGGGTGACTGGAAAATCCTATCTGATTCCGAATTGGTGAACAGGTCTTAACAGTTTCTATACATCTGTTAATGCAGATATCTCTCCACTTGATTGCTCAGTACTACCGGCATTGCTACCCGCTCCTGACACACCACCTATAATCGAACCTTACCAAGTTTACAAGAAACTTTGTACTCTTCAACCTTTCAAAGCATGTGGCCCTGATAATATTACACCTCGCATATTAAAGGAATTTGCACGCGAGTTTGCAGAACCCGTTGCAACTATCTTTAACACATCCCTAACCTCTGGAACATTTCCTGCCGCCTGGAAAGATTCGTGCATTTCCCCAATTCCAAAAGTGCCACAACCGACTTGTGAAGGAGATACTCAACCAATCTCTCTCATCTCTTGTCTTTCCAAAGTCCTGGAGGACTTTGTTGTACAATGGAAGATGAAAGACGTCGTGAATAATCTTGCCATTCAGCAATTTGGTTGTTTGAAAAGATCATCAACAGCATACTGCCTTCTCGATATGATACATAATTGGCCATTCCACCTTGACTCTCCTGATAAGCATATCCATCTATTATTTTTAGACTACACAAAGGCCTTCGATCGTATCGGACATAATGTGCTTATTAGTAAGCTTATCGATATCGGAGTAAGGCCATCTCTGATACCATGAATTATAAGTTTTCTATCTAACCGTAGACAATGTATTTGACTTGGTGGCGCTATCTCGGACTGGTTGGCGGTTACAGCCGGTGTACCACAAGGTACAAAATTGGGACCAATCTTATTTTTTATTATGATCAACGATCTAAAGATACCATCCCCAGGGAATACTGGTACTTGGAAATTCATGGATGATGTATCCATTTCAGAGTCCCTGTCAAGAAACAATGAATCCCGTACGCAGAATCACCTTGATGAGGTCAACACATGGGCTGACAACAACCAAATGAAGCTAAATCCAAAGAAATGCAAAGAGATGCATGTCTGTTTCCTTAAAGAGCGACCCATTTTAGAAAAACTCAATTCGAGGGGACACCCCCTGGAAATCGTTTCCCATCATAAGGTTCGCGGTTTGTTTAGACAGGATAATCTTAAATGGAATGGGCATATTGCCATGATTGTTAGAAAGGCCTCCAAGCGTTTTCATATCCTTAGAGTTCTTAAACGGGGAGGAATCCCACCTCACGAACTGATCCTTATTTACTATGCTCATATTCGCTCTGTACTAGAGTACTGCTGCATTGTATGACATAACAATCTACCAGCTTATCTGGTGGACTTAATTGAACGAGTTCAGAAAAGAGCACTGAATATAATCCTCCCTGGCAGGTCTTACCGTGTAGCTTTGAGTCAGCTCCATTGTTCTCGCCTAGATGAGAGACGCCATGCTTTGTGTGAAAGAACGATTAAAAAGATAACTGATGGCAACCGCCTGTTTTATCTCTTACCTTAGACTAGAGAAAACGAGGACTACGATTTACGTAACGCTAACAATTGGTTATTGTTCAAATGTAGAACTGATCGTTTTCAGAAAAGTTCTTTCCCAAGTATGATTCGAGTTTTAAATATGTCATCATAACACTAGTTTTTGAATATCTAAACTATTACAATATATACTTTTCTCACACCTAAATTTTTAAATTGTAAATATAGTATTAGACTTATTGTATCTTTATTAATTATTGTAGGCACATTGTAATTCAATTTTTTGTGATAGTGTGCCATTAAAAAACGCATATAAATTCCAGAATCTATAATACCTCGAGAAGCGTACAAGATATGATTAGATATGTATAAGATATGATTAGAAAATCATCCATATATATGTGCTTATTATATAGGAAGAAAATATTATTTTGAGGAAAAAATATATACAAACTGAGCTTGTAATATATATGATATTACACCTTACATTTTTGTACAGTTAACCTAACTTGAATCACATGTTTTATTTATTGTCATTAATCAAGAACCCATTCCTTGTTTAAATCTTGTGGATGAGTTAATATTGATCACCTTTCTCCTTCCAATCCTGCAAAAGTGGTAACAGTTAGACTTACTGTATAATCTAAGAATGACTAAACGATATGTTATACTATACGGCACGATATACTATATATACTATATCTTATACTATACGATGCCTTGTGTATACGCCCCCCAGACAAACGCCTTCTATGTACAACTGAGCCCATCATATCCAATAGCACTTAGGTCAGTCAGACTACAACTTCCCTCTCTCCCGGCCCGATATGCGAATGAAATTTATTGGACAAAATCATTTTCCTAATAACTTTCGTAATAATTAATTTTGTCCCAAAATAGTAGTGATGTCCGTATATAAGTCTTCCCTATATATTACCCCCACCCCCGCCGGAGGTTTCTTCGTCACTAAGAACCATCGAATGCTTATAATACGAATGAATATAATTATGCCCAGGGGCGGCCAGGGCTCAAAATCCGGCTGAAGTTTATAGTAAACTGAACTCAAACCAGCCTTTCGAACATCAGTAGAGCATTCCAAAAAAACATTCTTATTTGTCTGCTAAAGAGGAAGAAAATATCATTTGTAGAAAAACTAGTACTGGCCAATCTTAAAGCCAGTTTTCCACTTCCTGCTTGTCGTTACTTCCGTAGAACGCCAAAAAGTTGACTTGCAACGAACTTTTTATTTTGATACGCAAATACCCCTGGAATTAAGTACGTGGATTTATTTACCTCTTTTCAATCTGCTTATGCTCATCACCAGTACGCTTCGGCACGGTACGTAGTGTAAAACTGGCTTAAGTACCTACTCGCGAATGGTAATGGTATCAACAGTGGATGTGCGAGGTTGATTGTTAGCCATAAATCAATGACCAGGCGGAGATCAACTTCACAGCTTGGCATCGCTATTTAATTTGGCAAGTATAGCAGCAGATCAACCTAAACCGCCGCATAATTATATTAATGCTACAGTAATTTCGTTATTTTGGAGAATGAAAGTCGATCAACTTATAGTTTCATTTAAATGTTGTTAGGGAAGAGCAAGGCTTGCTCACGCTAAGGTTGGCAACCACGCCAATAAAATACAGCATATTTAATTAAAACTTCCTTTGCAATACCAATAATTTTTCGTTGATTTTGACTATTCTAGCATGTGTATACACTGGATTATGCTGTAATACAGTCTGTGAGAATTCGTGGTATGGCTTGTCGAAACAGAATCAACTACCCAGATCTGAGTAGCGCTGCTGGGGGTCGACAAGCAATGCTATCAATTTTCATAGACTGCAGGTATTACAGCATAATACCAGTCTATCCACATGCTATGATTTTTCAAGCTACATATCATCTTGCACTGAAACACCAGTTGGTCCTCGAAAATGCACAGTCATACCAGAAAATACTGTGCACAAAAATACATGGCGAAAAGATAGGACAAATTTCAAGATTTTCGAAGAACTTTTAGACCATATCTCAAAAATTTTAATTTCCTATGATTCAAAATATGTCTTTGTTTCTTACAGTGCGTCAACAGTAAGTGGGCCACTTAGAGAACACTAACCAATCGCACTGCAGGACAAAAAGAAAAAGCTAATCAAACTAAAGCTCGTCCAATCAAAAGAGAGATTCAGGAAGCCATTAACTGCAGTGTTTACTTTTGCAAGTCTATTTTTACCGTTTGGCATTCGTTAATTTGTTCAAATGGTTTTTGGCCTAATGCTGATTGGCTAATGCGCCGTTTCTTGATTTTTTCAATTTTTGTTCTGCAATGTGATTGGTTAGTGTTCTTTAAGTGGCCCCACTTACTGTAGACGCACTGTAAAATTATAAATAGCTACGCTTCTTGAGCTGCTCAAAAGAAATAAAGACACTTACAGGTGATTTAGTCTGGGAAACACGGAGCCTTGAAATTGGTAAAATTATTTGCAATAATTATTAACTTTCTACAAAATCCTTGAGCAGGAAATACAACAGTTTTATTTAGTGTAACTACGTTTTTGGAATTCTTTCAAAAACTTTTCATCGGACAAAGGCATGAATATGTTCTTTAGTTATTCGTAGTTTGCAAATCGAAATCACTCGCTAATCTTGGGAGTATATTTTCATAACAAACTCTTGTTTACAAGAGCAATATTGTAATACAAATTTCAACATTCCACTATAATTAGCCATCCGTTCGTAAGAGTATGATGTTTTCTTTGTCACGCACTGTCTTAATATTAACAATAACTACATATACATATACATTTGGTGCACAGTATCATCAGATTGTGTATATTGAAACAATACTTAATAGCATACATTACGACATTAAAGGTCCAAAGAATACTTTGGAAATTTCTGTTTCTTCGACCCCGTAGTAAAAGTCGAAAGCAGCAGCGAAGAACTCTTCCCGACTAATTTCGCCATTCTTATTCGAATCAATCACGTTGAAGGAGTGAGTCACATCCGCATCAGAAAGATCGGGTGCAAGTGTTTGAAAGTACCATTTGAACTCTTCTCGGGAAATGTGGCCATCGTTGTTGAAATCCAAGGCTTCAAAGACCGGGCCGAGCATTTTTACGGTAGCCTGCTGTTGTTCGGGTGTCATGGAAAGGTATTCTTTGTTTGCTATCTTGGCCGCTTCTTCTATAGGGATCTTCACTCCAGGTTTAAGACCTGCTGTTTCAGCAACAAATCTGAACGCGTTACGTATCTGTTCAGATTTTTCTTTGTCCAGCTTACTATATTCTTGCAATTTCGTGGCAATGATCTCGAAGTCCTCGCGAGATATGAAGCCATCGTTATTCAAATCTAACCTGTAATATCGAGTTCGCATTTTCTGCAAGTGAAATCCTCGCTGCTTTTCTGTTAAATTCGACATCGTCGATATGAGATAAACAAAATAGTTAAACGCTGTGGTTAGAAATATGGCACGCCTATAGCTATAGTCTGTGACAACTCATGCGGCTATCTCTAATCTAAAGAATCAACCAATCAGGGAAATGTCACTAAACATCACGAAACAGCCGACTATAGGAAAGAGAACTTCAGTGCGTGTGGCAAATAGCTATAGGGTATGGAGCAAATAGTGAGTACATTTTTCTATCAACCATTTACTGAGAGAAGTGAGACAGATGGTCTACCGAGTTCATGTGCAGATTTAGATGAATATGACAGTGGTAATGAGCAACGCGTCGATGAAGTCATTACAAATGGTAAGAAGCAGGAAGAGTATAATAACCACTGACACCAAAATACATAACTATATGGTAAACCACACTCGTAATTTTGGTTTGCATTAATAATATCTGTTAAAATATGATGTTATTGCATACCTCACGACAATTACCGAGATAATGTGACCCCAAAATTACAATACACTTATGATACACAATGAAACAATAAATGCTACAGATATATTTCTACATACAAAGTTAAATCAAAACATATCCGATCAAAGACATTTTTCGGTTCAAAAATAATCAATCGAGATCAAAAACTCAGAACAAAGACTTTCGAAGCGTTTCTGAGACATGCTTGTAGATCATTGAACTTTTTGTTTTACGCTTCTCGAACAAGACTAAAGAAACAAAGACCCTTAGATTTAGTCAGGGAAACACGTATAGCCATCTAACCTGGCCAAAGCATCTGCATTATAAGCCAAAACTCGCTGAGCAGAAAGCGAACGTTAAAACAGTTTGATTTAGGGTACGTTTTTGGAATTTTTTGCAAAATATAATTTCCATTCGATGAAGAAATTAATATGTTGTTTAGTTATTCGTGGTATATGCCAATAATCTCCCACAAATCGTGGGAGTGTTTTAGTAATCATACATATATCCTGTTTATAAGAACAATATTATAATACAAATTTCAAATTTCCACTACAATTAGCCTTCTGTTCTTATGAGCATGTTTCCCTTGTTATGCATATCCTTTGTTAATCACTATAGCTATCTATCGTCCATTACTACGTGAATGTACATATATTTGGCATGCAGTATAATGAGATTGTGTGTCTTGAAACAATATAACTACATGGAAAGTCCAAAGAACACTTTTGAAATTTCTGTTTCTTCAACTGCATAGGCATAGTCGAATGCAGCATCGAAGAACTCTTCGCGACTAATTTAATTCGCCATTCTTATCCGACTATCATGTTGAATGAGTGAGTCAATCAGCATCAAAAAGATCGGACGCAATACCACTTTAATCACTTTAAGCCTGCAGCACACGAGAGCTATCTGCTGAGCAAAAAGTTACTCGTGTCTGTTAGCTCAGCCGATAGCTCACCGATCAAACATGTTTGATACGTGAGAAAAGGTTGCATGAGGCAAAAAACTCAGTAAAATGTACGCGCACACGGTGAGCTATCGGCTGAGCTAACAGGCACGAGTAACTTTTTGCTCAGCAGATAGCTCTCGTGTGCTGCAGGCTTTACCACGCATTTTCTGCAAGTGAAATCTTCGCTGTTTATCCGTTAAAAACAACATCATGCATATATATGAAGAGGTTTTTATATATAGGTAGACTCTATATAGCTATACATGCACCATATATCCTCATGTATCTATATTTAGGCGCCTCATTGCCCACAAAGTTGTATGAGGGCTCGCTTGATCGAGTTTTCAGTTTGCCAGATGTAACTGAGCTAGCCATCGTGATAGCTCTATAGAGATTCGTTGACTGATAACGATGCTGCAGAGGTTATACTAACTTGTCGTCAGTATCTTTCAACGCTAGAAATGAGCCACAAGATCACGTGACAGTGGAGGAATGTAAGACAGCTTTAGACCAAACACTATAGAGTCACTGAAGAGAAAACTTGATATATGGGGCCGACCAGAATTTCCTCAGAAGTGTTTTAAAGCTTCAACAATGTGCAAATAAAATGCCAAAATCAAAGCTGACAAGCTGTTTTCACAGCTTTGGGGCTGTTGGTGTGTGCCATAACCAATTTGCTGCAATATCTGTTGTCAGGAAAGCAAAAAGAAGAAAGATTCCAGTCCAACCAGAGTCTGTCGAAAGCCCGAAAGTTACAAATGGAACAAGGCGGAGTCAAGCACAATGACAAACACTAAAGATCTACCCATTGAAACCGGTGGCTGAGTAAGCGGAAGGAGTGCATATGTTTGTAGAAAATATCCGGCGAAATCAACAAGTGGCAAAGAAAGCGGGAAAAGGTATAAGTAAATAATAAATCTTCTAGGAATTAACAATCCTCACTCTGTAGAAAGTCGCCATCTTTGTTTTACGGCCTGTTCGACAGGCCTAATTAGTCGGCCTGAGTGTTCAACGCACACACACAAACTCGATAGCATAGTATCTAGCGCTCCGCGCAGATACAAAAATCGCTTAGGTGATTAACGCGTTATAATCACTACAACGGCAACCAACCATGAGCGGAAGAAAATCTACAATAATCACATATGTAATTATACCTAAGATATGTTATACTATACGATATATAGACCCCTCGTGTATAAGCCTCTCCCAGACAAAAGCCTCTTATGTATAACTGAGCACATCGATATCATATTCACTAGCACTTAAGCCCTTCTGAATACAACTCCCCCCTCCCCCCTCCTCAATTGCCACATATGTGATTATGTGAATGAAATGTATTGTACTAGAAAATGTATTTTCGTAGTAATTAATTTTGTCCCAAATAGTAGTGATCCGTATATAAGACTCCCCCATATACTAACCCCTCCACCCTCACCGCTGGTTCCCCTGTCAATAAGCCCATAAAAAATGGTTACGAATGAATATAAGCCCCGGGCTTATATTTTGAAGTTTATGGTTAACTAAACTCAAACCAACCTTTCGAACATCACGAGAGCAACTCAAAAATAAACACCTGTATTTGTGTGCTAATTAATTAAAGAAGAAGAAAATATCATTTGTAGAAAAAACTATCCCAGCTTACGAATCTGGTCGCGAATGGTAATGGTATCCACAATGGATACATTGATCAAATCAATGCCCCGCATTGATCAAATCAATGCCCCGGCCGGGATCAACATGGCATCTAAACAAGGAGCAACGCGTGGACTATGAGGCACTCAAACCCATAATGCTTTGCGGCCTGCTTGTCCAACCTCCTCTGCCTCGTCTTAATATTTTACATGTTTTTCGCCTTAAATATATATAACAAACTTGAGCTTATGTTGCAACGTTTTCCGATTTACATTCACGCTAATGTTACGAAAGAAATCTCCATTTTTACCTACCCTACGCGCTTATTTGGACCCTAATGGCTAAAAGCCATAACTCCGGAGGTGTTCTGGCTGTTTCCGTGCTATTGGCTGTTTCCGATGGTGTTCCGTGCTTTTCCGGTGGTGTTCCGAGCTGTTCCTGAGGTTTTCCGTGCAGTTCCGGAGTTGTTCCGGGCTGTTCCGGAGGTGTTCCGCGCTCTTCCGGAGGGGTTCCGGGCTGTTCCGTACTGTTCCGGAGATGTTCCGCCATGTTCCGGTGTTCCGGATTAGTGTTCCGTGTTTTAGTACATGCCCTGTTCGTTGTTTGTTGATTTATAAATCAAGCTTTCACTTCCACAGACAAAGCCTTCACTTGCAGGGGCCGTTGTATTAAACCCGCGATTGTTCTTGTTGTATAAACTATTGAGTGTGTTTGCTAGGAGGTTTTCTTCAGTATCTCTTTCTATTACAAGCTTTTTTCGATTTTGACCATACCATTTTAGCATAATATCTGTCGCTGTGCCATTAAACACTTTCCGACCAACTGCCAGCTAACTTCTAATCGTTTTGAACAAAACTCTTTAATTGTGAAAGATTGCCCTTCCACGAGTAACCACTGTTGTCAATAGATAAATTCGATATAAGTATGGAGCCTGCTTAATTCGGTAGCATTTTAACGGAATCATTCATAAATGCAGTATCATGATATTGTGTATCATGCAGCATCATGAGATTGTGTATCTTGAAACAATACTACGACATTAAAGGTCCAAAGAATACTTTTGAAATTCCTGTTTCTTCAACACTATAGTCATAGTCAAAACCAGCAGCGAAGAACTCTTCGAAAGCAATTTAACCATTCGTATCAATCATGTTGAAGGAGTGAATCATGTCAGCATCACTTCGGGCGCAATTGTTTGAAAGTACCACTTGAACTCTTCTCGGGAAATGTGGCCATCCTTATTGAAATCCAAGGCATCAAAGACTGAGTCACACGTTTTTACTATAGTCATTTCGTGAAAAGGAATTTGTTGCTTGCTTTTTTAGCTGCTTCTTCTCCAGCGATCTTAACTTGATGTTGAAGACCTGCTTATCAGCAATATAATTCTGAATGCATTATTTGACCGTTCGGATTGCACTCGTCCAGTTTACTATTCTTGAAATTTCATGGCCGTTAGCTTGACGTCTTCGCGGAATATGAAACCATCGTGATTCAAATCTAACCTGTTAAATCGAGTCAGGGAATTTTTTTAAGAAATTAAAACTACTGGGACTAAGTTTCAATGAGGGCCTTTTCCACACACAGTTTATACGCGTATTCATGCATGAATATCATGCTGTGCTGGCTTTTGTAAGATGGAATGTCGAGAATGTGAGAGGACATGAGAAAGCAGGCAGATGCAACACCGCGGAAAAACGTCTGCGCATGCACCAAATTATGACAATATGGCGGGGAATTTGAATATCAATTTCTAAAACAAAAACATGCTTGTTAATTGGTCAAAAATTAGTAAAACAAACGAGAAAATATAGCAAATGGGTAGACTAGACATTAATTGAAAGCGTCCTGGCATTTAAAGTATGGAATGAAATATTATTCATGTAAAAAAATGTTGATTTTAACGGACACGACTTCGAAAATATTTGCAAAATTATTCAAAACAAAAATTCAAACTCAAAAGTTAAGAAAACTCTCGAAAAGTTAAGCTTTTTAACCCACTCAAACTGTAGAATAAATCCGAAAGTTTAATTATTGTGAACACGAAAATTTTTTATATTTGGCGACACAGTTTTTTTTAAAGAAATGTATCTCAAACGAAAATTCGGAAATTGTCGTTGCTTAGTTGATAAACAAAATGTTTCACACGATAAATTTGTCAACAATCACCTTTAGTTCATGTTCTTGTACAGTACAATTTCTTGAACCTTCCGGCTGTATTTATTCCTAGTTTTTAGAATGACATGTTTATTTTTGCGCTCGAAATCTGGCTGTAAAGACGCACAATGAAGTCACTCCATTTTACCGCCATTTTGAGCCTTCGGAAACGTTCGGAACAGCTTCTCATCAAGCTCGCAATACTATTACAGGTAAGGTTGACGCATGCGCAGACGTTTTTCCGCGGTGTTGGCAGATGCAGCTTTTTCAACAAGGATGACTTTTTACTAATGATCGAAAGGGGACAGCTCATTTGAAAATATTGCTTCACTACTAGGGCCTAAAAGCAAAGGGCCCACTTGGGTAAATACCCCAGTAGTTATATATACTTAAAGAATGCCCTAACTCGAATTCGCATTTTCTGCAAGTGAAATCTACGCTGTATATCGGTTACGATTGACATCGTCTATATGTGGCAAGCTATATAGTTAAAGTCTGTGGTTACACGCAACTATGGCAAACTTAGTCTGTGAGAACTCATGCAACTCATTCCGTACATGCTAAATAAAGAATCGGGGAATAATGGAAACGGGGAATCAAGGAAGGAGGGAGTTCCAGGGAGCAAATAGAACGTGGAACAAACAGATGGTTGGACGAACAGGAATTACGAGAAACTGGGAGAGGGAAAACGGACAGTGGTGCAGAGACCAGTAAGAGAAGTGGGAAATTATGGGGACGATAATAAAATGAGGGAATAGGCTGACCAAAGGTACCGAGGAAAATGTGGGAAACAGAGAATGGTATACTAGGGAACGTGGAATGAGCAAACTATAGTGTGGGGATCAGAGAAATTGGGAAACAGGAACTTGGGAGGAAGGAAATGGGGGAAAGTGAATCAGGAATGAGAGAAACGTGGAATACGAGAACGACGGAAAATAACCTTTTGCTGTTTCACTTTGTTGAAAAACATACCATTGAAGCATATTAGCCTTTGCCAATTCTTAATATTAATTAATTAATCAACTTTTTTTATATTTAAGTGTACACATTTCCAAATACAACTCTTAACAAATGACCATGATTCTGGATACTATTTAATTTGCCTCTTTATCATAGAGCTGCTCCCATCGGTTAATTTTCGTAATCGATTAATCGTTGTCAACAATCGATTAATATCGATTAATCGTATTGATAATTAACTCAAATATGAAATTTTCATAAAGCCCATGGTGGTTTGACAGGTTTCTAAATTGTAATACACTTATACACTTTACTAATTTTTTGGGGGTTTCACCAGTCAGTATAAACATTTTAGATCTGCGTTTAAAATGAACGTTAATCACAATTATAGATTGCGCACGTTCTCACGCTCTTACACTTCACATAAGAGACATGCGTGAAAGGACAGAAAGGATATTAAGGATGTTTACTTTAGTTGTTTACCTTTGACACTCCTAAGCAAATTTAAGAGACTCTTATGGATAATTAATTGGTTTATGTCTGCACACCGCAATGTTCGACGCAAATGGTTATAAATTATTTAAAGATATTTTCGCTGCACTGGTAACCCGATCAGACTATGGTAAACTTTGCACGCTGCGAGTGAATTTGATATTGATCAATTTGTCATTTCATGTTTCAATCACAATCTTGTCACAATTCTTTTTAATCTGGAAAGAAATTAACCCATTCCCGTATTACGCTGTGTGGTGTTATAGATTATCCGATTACTGTATAATCGATTGTGGAAAAATAATCGATTAATCGATTGATCGATTAATCGGGAGCAGCTCTACTTTATCATTATATTATTATAGCTCATTTTCTTGAAGAGATATGTTTGTAAGGGATTATCGGTACCGTTCGGGTTAAATGATAAGATTGATGGTATTCTTAATTAAACGAATTTTGGTCAAGACAATACTAATATTCTGGCCTGGTGAGGAGGCGAATCAGATATAAAAATACCAAGGGCATATCACTTTTGGCGTTCGTTATTTAATTCTTAAATCAGTGTCCATGTACGAGGGTCTAGATGGGGGAGGGGGGTCTGAAAATCAGTAAACGGTAAAAATTGTGGTACCTTAGCGGTAAAAATAAGTAACATTAGGACAAAATAAGGACACCTAAAATATTTTCCCAGAAATGTTCGCGAGGTGGGGAGATTTCCTGTCATACCATACCGAAATTGCACGTACGTTTTTGACCACATTTTTAAAAAAAACCATCGAAATTTCCAAACAAAAAGGGCACCTTTGATGTTAATTTAGTATTTACAGCGACATTAGCTTGTACAAAAAGGGCACTTTTCATCACAAAAAAGGGCACTTTGGTCCTTCAAAAAAATTGGGGGGGCGGGGGGGGGGCACATGCCCCCCTGTTCCTACGCCCCTGGCCATTTTCCTTGTATATTGATAATTCGTTCTTTTCGTAAATAATTACCCCCGATATCCTAGCTCATACAAGGACGGTCTATGTAAGAGTTATAAACTGAGAACGCGGGATATAAGTTGTATATTTACCCGAGATGTCGCAAGGCCCGAGGGCAAATATATGACTTATATCCCAAGTTCAAGATTTATAACCGACTTATTTTCTAGTTGAGGAGGTTTTCGAAGAAGATTTCATAAATCTCAAAGACTATCCATACATAAAGCTTTTTCGAGTTTTGTCGACAAGTTTAATCTAATGATTTAATCACGGGTTATAACCTGTATACATCCCGCGGTAAAGAAAACCGACTCAGCTAGAAAATAATGCTGGGAACAGACCTTACGAGTTACGCCACAGTGTAAATATCATGCCAAGATCTTGCCAAACCACAAGGGAGTGGTCATTATTTATGGGGGTGGGTAGGGTAGATCCATCCCTTGATGAAACCGTAAGCTCTTCGGACAACCCGCCCCGCTGTAAAGAACAAATCTACTGATTATATATAGAGATCCAGCTATTTCAGTTTTTCAGTACAAAATATATTGCTTGTTGATCATTGTAATCATCGTGTGCCTGTCGGGAGAAACTGAACTGCTATAATCACTAACCATGTTGTAAAACTGAAATTAACTGGGTTTTTTTGTATGCAATGTTTCTCTGTGTTTCACCAAGTCAGGCAAACTATCAGGCAGACTACTGTGGGAATCAAACCCGTGGGAATCAAACCCACTACTTTTGTCTCGCTGGTTGAATGCTCTACCAGCATGAGTCAAGTTGGCTCGAGTGCGTGATATTTTGGAACTTAATTTAGTTTCTTCAATATCTGCATGTTTGTGGGTGTGAACTCAGGTGTATTATCTTTCAGTTATTTTGTGGTATTCAATACCATCAAACTTCATATTTTATATCACAAGATATTTAACAATTATTCGCCAAAGGGGAAGGATAGGCACTGCGACGCATACTGCAAACACAAATGACCAAAAAATATAACTTTAAAACAATTTGTATTACTCTTACAGCTCACATCATTCAAATAGCAAGAATATGAGCTTAGCAAAACCTATCAAATTGTGCGAACAGCAATATCCACCACCCAAGTATAATGTATATGCTAAATAAAAACAGCAAACAAGTTTTTACAAATCTGTTCACAAGCTGTGGACGAGTCGCACTGCTTGTTACCAGTTTTCGAAACAAGTTTGGAGCTGTTAACGACTTATAACAAGCTTGATGGCATTATCAGACCTGTTACTTTATTCTAACAAATCTGCTACAGTCATGATATAACAAGAATGTAACTAGAAGAATGTTACTATAACAAGAAGGTGGACTACACCAGGTTGCAGGGATGGCTTTACTGGGCCGGGGAGGGGGGGGGGGTGCGGGGGTGCCCACCCCCTAGCCCTGGCCAGAGGGGGTGCAGGGAGGGTGCTATTTTTCATGATAAAGCAAAAAAGACAAAATGAGATACAGCAATTTGAGTAATGACATGATGATAAGTGAACTGTGAACAACAATTACAATTCAAATACAGTAGTAGTTGATGGGCGGGCGGCACACATGACTGACACAACTCGCCAGTCGGCACCAGAGCACCCCGTCCCCCTACCAGATCATGCTGGATCCATCCTTGCAAGGTTGTGACAATAATGTTATATCATGACTGTATCGGACTTGTTGGTACAACCATACAACAAGTCTGATAATGTAAACAAAGTTGTTACAAACTTCTTGACAACTTGGGACAAGCAGTGCGAATGCAACTTGTTGGCAGACTTGCTACAAGAGGTGAGATTTTTTCGTGTGTACTCAACTTGACCTTGCAATGCAGTTGGTAGGACATTGGAATGGTTTTCCAAAGGTCACAGGTTCAATTCCCACCACATGCAGTGAAGCATTTTTTAACTTGCCTGATGTGGAAACTCAGAGTAACATCAGTTCAGCGTGTTGACTAGTTCATGAGTTCAGCACTACTCTTACCAGACAGATATTAGTTATTTATTACAATAAATTGAATCATATTAATTTGGTAACTGCCTTAAAATTTATAGAAATTATACATGGTTGAAAATTGTTAAAAAGGCATTCACAGTTATAAGAACTTAGTCATTGTATGAATCTCAGATTTCTAAGCCTCGCTTCTTTAGGTTAAAGCATTTTAAACCCTCACACATGTGAAGCTAAGAGTTTGTCTACCCCCCCCCCCTACCATTTGTCCCCCTGCCTATGAAGACATATGATGTATGTCATCTGAATGTTTGTTTCATTGTTTGAGACAATGACAAGATGCAAAAACACTGTATGTCTGTAATGGTATTCGCCACATTAGGGGATGTTTACATGATCCCGAGATGAGAGACGGGATAATTTTGACAAACTGAAATAAGTGATGGTTCATTATTCAGCAAAACTACATTATTTTCTAGTGATAGATATTGGTATAATTGCAAACGAAAGCTAAGATTGTTCAAACAGCAATAATACTTTTTTTGAACCATGAGATTTCAGTTCTTTTAACCGGCATTTGAACTTTTAAACCCAGTGACTTATTTCAGTACATCAAAATCATCCCATCTCCCATCCCCGCAAACTGGGACAATGTAAACAGCCCTTAGTCAACCTATCCCATGCCATGTGTATTCATGTGATGTTCAAGTTGTTGTGGATTATCAAATGAAATACCACAAAGGGAACAGATATATCGAATATCAGTTAGTTCTATTTTCATTTCTAGCTCTTCAGCACAGATATCACATTGGTCAGAGATGCCGTGCTCCCTCACCTTGTGTTGAATCAAACTTTTCAGGTCAGGGAGTTGCTGGTTGCAAATATCACATTCGTAATGGTTGCAAGTTGACTTCTCTTGAATTGTGGATTTCTCTTGTGACAGAATGCCATGATTATCACGATTATTGTAAGGATTTTTTTCAGTATGTTTTCTCTTTTTATGTCGGGCTAAGTGACTCAATCGAGAAAAACACTCCTTGCAAAGATCACATTGATGAGGTTTGTCTCCAGTATGTGTTGATTTATGTCTTCTCAAGGAATTAGAGCGAGAAAATGTTTGGTGGCAGACATCACATTCATAAGGTTTTTCGCCGGTGTGTGTTCTTTTATGTCTTGTTATGGCACCCGATTGAGTGAATATTTGATGGCAGACTTCACACTCATAGCGTTTGTCTTCAGTGTGCTTGCTTTTATGATCTGTTAAATGGGCTAGTAGGGAAAATCTCTTGTTACAAATATCACATTCATGAGGTTTTTCCCGAGCGTGGATTCTCTCATGATCAGTAAGGTGGCCTGATCGTGCAAATTTCTTGCCGCAAACATCACATTCATACGGTTTCTCGCCAGTGTGTGTTCGTTTATGCTCAGCTAAGTGGGATGAACGGGAAAATCTTTTCAGGCAAATATCACATTCATAACGTTTGTCTCCAGTGTGTGTTCGTCTATGTCTTGATAAATTACCTTTAGTTGAAAATGTCTTGTTACAAGTCTCACATTCCATTCTGTTTATAATTCGATAACTTCAGTTATCAAACATATAGATCTACATACACTGTCTGAAGCTCTTTATTTTGTCTTCCGCAACAATGCCTTCGACGGTTACATGTATTCACGGCAAAATTGCTATCGAAAATTGATGGATTTTCTCAAAAATGTTCAATGCAACGTGCCAACATACAATACTGTCCGCCATATTGAATTTAAGCTCGTAGGGGCCTGGGTACTAGTTAATTTCGCGGTAACACTTCCGCCGGAAACTGGTGACCGGGATAATGTTTTTCCCATATGAACACAACTTTCTCGCTTAGTGGGATAACTTTCTGTCGTGTCAGCAAGTTTTCAATTCAATTGATGTTCAGTGTTAAGTCACAGCCGGAATCTTCACCCGGTAAACGGGATAACGTTTCTCCATATGAACAGAACAAAGTATTTGCCTAGTCGAAAAGTTAATTTTCTCGTTAACCGGGATAACTTTGCCCATATAAACTGAATAAATAGGCCCTAAGTATGCAAATTTTATTGATTATCAAGTACTTATTCTTCTAACACGTTGTATCTATCATATTATTGCCATTAATTAAAGCATCTTTGTATAAAAAATATTCAATTTTATCCATCGTTGGAAGCCAATCTTTCAAAAGAAAACAAGGAAGCAGGCGCGTAGCCAGCCCCATACGAATGGGGTCTAAAGTGTCAAGTACATAAAAGTACTGTTCTGAAAGCCGGGGACGTAGTCCTTGGAAAATTTTTCAATTTTAAGGTTAGTGAAACGCTCCCACGTGCATATTTTGCGTGGCTTTTTTGTGATCTATATGCCACAGATTTGGTATATTTTATGCCATAGATGAAATATTTACGAGATACATTAACAAAGCATGTGTGTAATAAACTAATAGTAATAATATGACACGTCAAATTAGCAGATAAAGAAAGTTTTAAGAACTTGTTACTAAGGGGGCATTAATTTTTTAGCTGGGGGCGGAGGAACTGATGTCTAATTCCATGCTAAAACTTGGAACCCCCAAGAGAAAAGTTGATAAAAAATTATGACCCCCTATTTTTTTTACTGAAAAATTTTTTGACTCCTCATCCTAACTATTAATAATCCACACGGTGTCGTTTCCGTAGCGTTTCAGGGCCGTAGAAAGCTATTTTTGACTGGGGAGGGGCTGAAAGCGAGGGCCGAAGGCCCGAGGAAATTTTTAAATCTAGAGTTTCTGAAATGCCATTTCCTGGAATTTGGGGAAGATTTGACAGAATTCTGATGGTAATAAAACACCGTTTTAGTATGTCGAAATTGACAATTTGGTAGTACTAAATGGGCGAACACGTATTTAATTAACTATATATTGGATAACTAGGATAAGTTGCAGGAAACTGTGGGTACTATCTTCATTCTTTGCAGTTTGTCATGGATAATGTAGCGGCTTAACATAAATAAAGCTTAAAATTGATAAAAGTCATGCAGACCTTGCATGCAGACCTTGAAACCATGCATGATTTTGAAATCATGCTACGGTCCTGCGTTTTCTTTCATTCATGTTTTCACACAAAAACGGATAAAAACGAGGTCAATTGACGAACGTCATGGAAATGTTTTCCTATGGACTGTGTGAACAGAGCGTAAAATGAATTTTGCTTCATTGTTAAAGATGACGAGATAGTTGATAGATCTTTTTACCATTCTTCATCCAAATATTTCCAAATTCTATAAAATTATATTGGTGACTTTTTCACTGATTATTTTTATGACCCCCTCCATTTATACCAAAACTATAAAAAGACCCACCCCTTTGGAGCATGTCAAAATTTGCTGACCCACCCCCAAATTCCTCCGGCCCACCCCCCAGCTAAAAAATGAATGCTCCCTAAGTTGAGAAATGCTTTAATGCATTTTAAAATCACTTTCTTTTTGAAACGATACATGCACATATTATACAACATTTACAGGAACGGGAACCTAATTTGTGTTCCGTTTTCAGAAATATAACCGCTTTCATCTAACATTTAGATATGATAGTGGAAGTTTCCTAGGCTTCAAAGCAAATCTATCGACAAGAGAATGCAACTTAATATCTTCGGCTAGTAGACGGCTACATCTCTTTCGCTACTAACATGGTTGCCCTCGTGTAATTAATTGTTGATAATTTTAACTTTACTGCATGAGGCATCTTTCGCACGAAGCTATTGCAATCGGAATTATGCCTGCAATGTACAAATGATTCTGTGAAGGTTTAGGTAAAGGCCAGCGTAATCAATTTCACCAAACTTCTTTAATATTAATGGAAAGTAATGGTTCTTTCACTCCTCTTTGCGTTCTTAGAAGGTAATGGTTCTTTCACCCCAGTTTGAAGTTGCACTTGTTGCGGCTTGAAATGAAGCCGTTGTATCAAGACGTGAAAATCTGTGATTTCGCGTTGTAAACAGAGCGATGACTAAATTATTCATATATATATGTTATTTACCGGCTGCGAGGTCCGGATGAGAAAAACTGTGCCCGAGGTCTTGAAAACGGCCCGAGCCCGAAGGGCGAGGGACGTTTTCAAGACCGAGGGTACAGTTTTTCTCATCCGGACCGACGCTGCCGGTAAATAACGTATTTATTTTTTATCAGATGTAAAAATTAAATTGATTAAAATTCCAGTGATGCTTGCGAACTAATTTGAGATCAGTGCAGTTGTGTATTTTCAAAGCGAGGCTGACAAAAATTGAAAAGTTGAAAGATATGAAACATGAATACGAAAACTCGAGAAAATTGGCAAGAAAGACACAAAAAGACGTATAGTTTCAGTAAAAATGTACATGCTTTTTTCATGAATATGTTAGCAGAGAAGCTTTGGAATAAAAACTTTTATGCCTGGCGTTTTGGCTTTGGCTTTGACAAGTTGCTCTTGCCAACGACAGGTTCATGTTCAGATCCGATCAAAAACATATAAAAATGAATCTGTTGTGATTTAATTAACGTTTTTATACTAAAAGGACAATGAAAAAGGTATGTTATTTTTATATTTTTGTATTTTTTCTTGTCGTTTCACGATAATATGCTTGAAAAAAGTGTTTTTAAACACAAACTTTTACTTTGTTTACAATATTTATATCAGTGAAAAATACATGACACAAATGGGTAGAGAATATATTCGTGACTTATTTTTACTGTTGCTGTTAAACCTTCTTTTAAATGGGAAAACATTTATTTTACAATATCTGTTTAAGCTGTAATTTTTCGCTTTTAAGCGGCCGAATACATGAGCATTGAGCATTCAAAAAAGATATAGTTTTCTCGACGTAAGTTTTATACATGTCAAATACTTTCCGACTTTCAGTCCGTTTCTATATCAAAATAATTATTGTCAATTGTCGTGAACATCGTGCTTAGTATGAAGCCTTCAGGGCTTAATTGATGCTATTCATTTTCGTATTCTGACTATCGTTAGGCTATGTTTTTCAAACGTTTTTGGCAGATTTTTTCGTTTAAAAACTGTTTCACTCCTCAGTGTTTGCCGCGAAAACCAGAGCGGGCAGTTGCATTTCACAGCGGGCAGTTGCGTTTCAGAGCGGGCCGGATGCAAAAAATTGGCCCGCTCTGAATGGCTCCTCAGCCAATCAGATTGCTTCATTTTCACTGATAAAAAATAAATTGTAATTACTCAATTCTTTTCAATAATTTATTGTATTGGTAGCCGTTGCCGTCGCGTTGCCGTCCTAAATAGTAAAGTCTATATTATTATCACTCCAACGCGCTGGATTGAATGCAGATCATTGTACCAATACTGAAAATCGCCTTTTCAGCTCCCTCAGCAGCAGATCAAGCAGACAATAGTAAAAATCAGTACGAAATTTACTTTCTGCTGACACTGTTGTGCTGTTTTGAGTTGAGGAGGCAACGTGGTGACTGAATGATACATCAAGCAATGTTTCATCAACGGTCCATCAGCTAGACGTTTTGGAAGCGTTCTACGGCGTTTGTTACTGGGATCTCTAATCTTCAACGTGAAATTCGACTGCCTTGGATTCAGAGTACGCACAAACTCGGCAAATTATTCCGCATTCCGGAAGAAGAAAATCTAGCGATTAGCGACGTTACCGCATCTACAGCAATCACTAAATATATTTCTTCTCTTTGAAGATGTTCTGAAGCGTTGCATCAAACTAAGCTATACATAAGATACTGGATAACCTGCGAACGCAAATACGCAATTATTTCAATTTAATGGACGACAATTGATTTCTTTAAAAATATTTGCAACTTGCACCCCCCCCCCCCCAGTTTCTTTTCATATTTGGAAGAATTACAATATTGATCTTTCCCCCCTTGGCTGCGCGCCTGCAAGGAAGTGCACTATCAGTGTGGAAAAGCGAAACTAGAGTAAGTTTTTGACAGTGGAAATATTAAATTCACACCATGTGCTCCATGCATGCCAAAGACTCACTGCACAAATCAGCCGAGATCACAAGAATGGGGTTAAATTAAGAATAGCGTTAATCGTTTATCTCAGCTTTGAAATAAACGCTAAATGCTAATAACGTTGTTATCTCTCTTTGATTTGTGCTTGTGAATTTGAGTTAAAAATGGACGGGTTCAGGGCCGTAGCGAGCGGGGTTGGGTTTGGGGGGAGTTGTAACACCCCCTGCAATTTCAGGTAGATTTTAGGTAGATTTTCAGGTAAATTCAGGTAGATATGCAGAAGAAATTCGGGTAAATTAACGCCCTTTCAGGTAATTCCTAGGACAAGAGAAAGTTGATTTACAAAAATAACTATGAATTTGGTAAAAATTGAGGTATTTTTACAAAAAGTTAGGATAATCCAGAAATTTTCGGAATTTTAGAAAAGAATTGTGCTATCTACCCAAAAAATTTATTACCCCTAAAATGGTACACTGACCGAAATGTGTTTGGTGAGGGGGGGAGGGGGGGAGGGGAGGTCGCATAAAATAATTTTTTCCTCAAAAAAGTTTTTCAGGTAAAATTTGAAATTTTGATTCTTTCAGGTAGATTTAACCAAACACTCCCCCTGAAGGGAGTTCCTCGCGACAGCACTGGACGAGTTATGTGTATTCGAGGTTGCGAGAGAGAAAGCTTTCCAAGAGGGCCTCTCAACCTCGCAAGCCAAACTCTCTACTTCCGCTCCCCTCCTAAACACGTTCTAGCAGAGACCCTGGTACAGGGTGGTCACGTGACATCTTAACTCGGTTTGTCCCATGGGAGGGTGAGCTGAAGTATGTGAAATGCAAAGAACGTGTTTCTAGGAGTGTTTATTTTGAAAATCGTGGATTGGATTGATCAAAATGTATGATTTACTTTAGTTGTTTAAATTTTTGTATTGTAAAATGTATATCCGGAATATAATATTAGACCAAGAGTGATAGCCGGATAAACACAATCCGCTTTAATTAATGACTGATTCCGTTTTCAAACAAATGCTAAATTTACCGCTTTAGTTTTATCTGTTATCAAGCTAAAAATAGAATTAATGTAATTTTTAGCTTTGGGCGAGCATGCTGGTTCGAACGAATACAATAAGACACATTGTAACTGACGAGACAAGCAAGAACGCAAACAAGCATCAATTATTAAATTAAATTAAATTAAATTAAATTAAATTAAATTAAATTAAATTAAATTAAATTAAATTAAATTAAATTAAATTAAATTAATTTAATTTAAATTAAATTAAATTAAATTAAATTAAATTAAATTAAATTAAATTAAATTATATTAAATTAAATTAAATTAAATTAAATTAAATTAAATTAAACTAAACTACATTTACATTTTGTAGCCAACATGTCTGAGTGGTAACTGTAAGTAACTGAGTGGGTAAATGATCATGTAAGAGATATGATCAAACCATCTATTTTTTTTCCAAAAATACCAGTAAAATGTAGCCCAACATTTGAATACACAGTCACAGGTCCGCAATCAAATACAAATTTTGCAGAGCGACGCACAGTACCGCGATGTATTAAATTGTTGACGCCGAAGTTGACATCGAAATACAAACTCCTCGGACATGAAAGTGGAAAAGTAAAAAGAAAGTTATAAAACGTTTTAATCATCCTAATGATGCAACACTTCATATCTCTGCGAATAAAAGTGCGCAGCATGCAGCTGAATATAAAAGGTGTAGCAAAACAATATCGTAAGTGGCATACAGCTGAGTAAATAGGGGAAACGGAGCATTATCAATTGTCATAAACATATAGAGCTGTTAATTGCCATTGAATATTTTCCATATTTTTACCCAAGCAAATTAATCATAATATATTTTACTGTACTATACTTTACTATAATTTACATTCGTGATGGTCCAAGGTAATAGTCTTTATACGTTCAGTGTAATCAGTACGGGTATATACATATTGTTTAGAAATATATTTGGCTGATACTTAATTGTTTATAAAATTGCGAGTCGATTCACAACATTTAATACAAAACAACATACAGTAGGATACAACAAAGCCTTGGGCCTGAAATGATCGACGATGAATAAATACCTGTTTCACATAATTCTGTTCGAGATTCTGTTTAACAGAAAGCAGGCTATAAATTTTAAATATAATATATAAATACCTTTGTGTCCGTGGAATGTTGGTCATCCCGAATTTTTAAAGAATTATAAACAAGCGATGGTCGATTGCCTATCTAGCCAAACACAAAGACAGTTGCAGGTTTATTACCTTTGTAATTGTAATTGTAATTGTAGTCCCCTAATTGTAAAACATATTGAATTTGAGTGTTCTTATACACTCTAAAAACACTCTGGTTAAATTTGGGTTAATTCAACCAGTACGGGGTTAAAAATCCACCTACACAAGTCTGGTTAAAAAAAATTAACCATTTTCCTGGTTAAAAGTCCAAAAAAGTGTACCAAATTTTTGTTGAATTGATAATTTTTAACCAGGAAATGGGTTAAATTTAACCAGAATGTGTTAGGTGGATTATTAACCCAATTCCTGGTTGAATTTAACCAGAGTGTTTTTAGAGTGTATGCTTGAAATACAGAACTGTGTAGAGATGTTCAAAATGTCTTCTGCGAAGAACCAGCCGCGAGAAACTGAATCGGTTCGCATATGGCAATCGCCTGATTTATTGCCTTTAGTTGGTCTTGGAGTATCTTTGGCTTTTCCATTATACAGTATATCGCATCACGATCCGTTCAGAAAACATTTCCTGTGAACAGTGAACGTTGTTGTATTGTTACTCATCCACTCCTCCCCAAATGGCATACGGTGCGCTAATTAAAGACACCCCAGATTTTGGGGAGTCACGTGACCAGCTGTACTAGGGTCTCTGTTGGAGCGTGTTAAGGAGGGAAACGGAAGTAGAGAGCCTGGCTCGCAAGGTTGGAGGGCCCCTATGACGCTATGATTTTAAAATTGAAGACAAAAAAAGTGCTTTTTCTCCCGTGGGAAAGAGCCCTTTTCCTTCGTGAAAAATGTTGTTCAGATTGCATTTTTTTATGATTGCATTTATTTTTCCTTAATTCCTTCCCCCTCCCCACTGTCGCCAACATTTCCGGGAAAATATTTTATTGGCGCCCTTTTCATTCCAAGAATGCCCATCGAAACAGGTAAACCCCCCAAACATTTTGATGCTTGCTACCCCCTGTCTTTATATTTAGACAGGGTACCAACATCACACAAAATTTGCACTTAAAACGTACAATATTTATAATACATATATATACATATATATATATATATATATATATATATATATATATATATATATATATATATATATATATATATATATATATATATATATATATATATATATATATAAAATACAATCTACAAGATTAAGAATATTTGTACATTAGGCTCTATACTACAAGTAAAATTTGAGGGGAAACGGGAAGTAAAGTGAAAGTGTAAAGAAATGGAGAAAAATTTGAAGACAGGGGATAAAGAGAAGTCTAGTACATGCTATGTACACTGCGTATGTTTAATAATGTCTTAAAGTTAGATAGAGTTTCAGCATTTTAAAGTCCAGGATCCACAATCCTGGACAAAACCATCTGCGACACTCTATTATAAAACATTGCTTTGTGGCATTTTTACCGGTTAGACCGGAATAATTTACTCGTTTGCCCCCCTCCGCCCACCCAAAGTAATGTTGGACGTTTTATCCGTATTCTGCGAATGCAATCAACATTGAATGGTGGGGGAAAGGGGAGGTTTTCTAAAGTTGCGATAATATTACGACATTTTGTCAAGTAATTGGAAGTGTCGCAGATGTTTTGTCCAGGATTGTCTGTATCTTTCAAATTCAATAACCAAGGCATTGAGCATTAAAAATTGAGTTTTATGCAGGACTTTCTCTTTCCGTAGTAAATATGGTTCACTAGAATGTATTTAGCTTCAAGAAGAAAATACCACATGGTCGACAAGGTAATATAACACCCTCATGCAACGCTATGCTTCGATAGCTTGTATAGAATGCGATTAAGAATCATATGCGTCGACTTTCACGCATTTAATATACGTCGGAGAGAAAGTCAATGTACTTAGTAGTGTATATACCAACTATTTTGCACTACGAATATTCTAAAATACGTTAATCCATATTTATTTGTGTTGTTAGACAGACAAACGCCTAGCTGTTGACTGGAAATATATTGCGTGACCGCCGCGCTAAATGACTAATCCGATTTTGTTATTGTCGTATAATATATATATATATATATATATATATATATATATATATATATATATATATATATATATATATATATATATATATATATATATATATATATACATATAAACTTTTGTATAGGGTTAAAATGGTACACCGTGGAATATTTTAAAATTATCGCGCTAAATGTTGTCTGAAGTAGGTTGGAACACTAAGCAACACACGTTCTTTCACGTCCATTTCATTGGTTTTTATTACCCCTATAACTGGGAATATTACTGACAGTCTTAGTGCATTGGTGGTGATACACCGTTAGGTATGACACTATGAAAAATTGAGCATTGATTTACCACACCCGGAAAACTTGTATCAAAACGCATAATTCACATTTATATAGTTGCACTTAATATTCTACATATATGCAGTAAATACCAGAAACGTAACTATATTGAATTTATTGTCCCATTGAATTTATTGTCCCACACACGCATTCGTTTATGTATAGATTGAATGTATACCTATCAATATACAGGTCGCACAAAATCTTACGGAAATATATTTTTTGTGTCGTACATTTTATCTCATGCACTGATGGCTTGCATGTCTGTTTAGGCACCTTCTCGCATCGTCGATTAGGTTGTCTATTGTGTCTTGCAGGTCTTATATATACTGATACAGATAACAAATATGCATGACTCATATATATTTATTAATTTCTGAATTACTAGTGCAATGATATCGACTAGAACGCGATAGTTGTACTTTATCAATAATTTCCGCAACATTTTGTTGCTTTTAATTGCTAAAAAATAATACATTGTATGCGCTCTTCTCGGCAAAAAGATTTCACCACACATTATTACCCTTTTAAAACACTAAGGTGTTCATGACGTATTTCATTAATGAAAAAAGGAACTTGATGTAATTATGAACATAAGTAGGTGTAGGTCATAAGCATTACGCATAAACGAAATACATGGCAAAGACATGTATAAAAAGGGAAATATGAAAGAATATAATTTCGACTCATTTCAGACAATCCTGGACAAAATATCCGGGACACTTCCATCTTGTGACTTACGCTTAGCAGTGAACAGACGTTTATTCTTGTGCTCCGGATAGACCTTGAAACATGAATATGATGGGGGCCTCCTCAACCGTTTCGAACATCTTGTACAGTTATTTCAATATTAAAAGGAGCAAACTGATTTGGACTGGATCGCTCGAAACTCTGAAAGCATTTGTCCTCACAGAGATTGACGAAGAAACTGCCGAAACAACTACATGGTGCTCGCCCAGTGGCGATAAATGGCTATTTGACAGCAAGTTGTTATCAGTTACTTGGCTAACAAAAAGCCAGAATATTTATTTCGACGGTGAGAAGGGCCGTGACTTGATGGAACGAATACATTCATTTTTAAAGTAAGACCCGGACGTCAATGCTTCAGAAATCGCTAATCCTGCTGAACTTGATCTGGAACGGTCGATTGAAAGTTTGCTAGCTGAAGATTCTGAAGATGTCACAGATGATACGTTTGAAGAATCGTTCAGTGATCAATGTGATATTGCAAAGAAATTGAAAAACCAAGAGGAAAAACAAGCCAGTATAGATTTCGAAACCTCTTCCGATCTACGATGAATCGAACACGAAGTCAAAAAATTTGCATGAAGAGTCCATCGGTCTATATACGGTGACAAAGTCTGGCAATCTGCAAACAAAATCAACAAATATGCATAATCCCTTGGGAAGTAGTGCCAGCTGTAATCGCG